CTTCACATAGAAGACTGATTTGTATTTCATTGACTGAAATAAATATTTGAACCCCTACCATCTATTAAGAGTTCTGGCTCCCACAGAGTGGTTAGACACTCCTACTCAACTAGTCACCCTTATTAAAGACACCTGTGTACAAGACACCTGTCCACAGAATCAATCAGTCAAGCAGACTCCAAACTCTCCAACATGGGAAAAACCAAAGAACTGTCCAAGGATTTCAGAGACAAAATTATAGACCTGCACATGGCTGGAATGGGCTACAAAACCATTTGTGGGATTCTGGGGGGGGGGGGGGGGGGGGGGGGGGGGGGGGGGGGAGTGACAACTGTTGGTGAGATTGTTTGAAAATGGAAGGAGTACAAACTGACCATCAATAGACCTCTGTCTGGGGCTCCTTGCAAGAACCTACCTCATGGGGTGTCAATGATTCTGAGGAAAATGAGAAATCATCCTAGAACTAGATGGGAGAAGTTGGTTAATGACCCCAAAGTAGATGGAACCACAGTCACCAATAATACCAATGGAAACACATTACAGTGCAATGGATTAAAATCCTGGAGCGCTCACAAGGTCACCCTGCTCAAGAAGGCACAGGTGCAGGCCCATCTGAAGTTTGCTAATGAACACCTGAATTATTCACAGAGTGACTGGGAGAAGGTGCTGTGGTCAGATGAGACCAAAATTGAGCTGTTTGGCATTAACTCAACTCACCATGTTTGGAGGAAGAAAAATGCTGCCTATGACCCCTAAAACACCATATTCACCGTCAAGCATGGAGGTGGAAACATTCTGCTTTGGGGATATTTTTCTAAGGGCACAAGACAACTTCACCCCGTCAGCTGAAAAATGGATATGAGCCATGTATCGTCAGCCTCCTTCCCTTAGTCAGGAAACTGAAAATAGGTTGTGGATGGGTGTTCCAGCACAACAATGACCCAAAACATACAGCAAAAACAACAAAGGAGTGACTCAAAAAGAAGCACATTAAGGTCATGTAGTGGGCTAGTCAGTCTCCGAACTTTAATCTAATAGAAAACCTATAGAGGAAGCTCGAAGTTTCACAGAGACAGCCTCGAAACCATAGGGATTTAGAGATGATCTGCAAAGAGGAATGGACCAAAATGTCTTCTAAAATGTGCACAAAGTTGGTCACCAATTACAAGAAACATTTGACCTCTGTGCTTGCAAACAAGGGTTTTGCCTCTGAGTATTAAGTACATTTTGTTAGAAGGTAAAATATTTATTTCTCTCAATGAAGTGCAAATCAGTTTCAGTTTTTTATTTAAAGTCATTTTATGAATCTTTCCTTTGTCACTGTCACTTTTCATCTGTCACTGTTAAAATAAACCTACCATTAAAGTGATACTGTTCTGAGACTTTTCATTTCTTTGTCATTGGACAAAGGCACAAAATCAGTGAGGGGTCAAATAAACATTTCCTCCGCTGTACATTGTGTGAGAGCAGTTATTGGTCTTGCGGAAAAGCTTCTCTTGGTCCTCCACTCATCACACACTCACCTATTTAGCTACAGAACACCACTGGTGCGAGAGGTTCCCTGCTCAATAATATCAGGAGAAACAGCCGGCTGCTACCACTTTAACTTTAGGAAAAACTGCCAGAGGCGCAATAAGAAAAACACCTTTGGACATAGAAAGCAGTGACTGGTGTTTAACCTTCTCTCATTACCTCTGGCATTGTGGGTTTCTGGTTCCAGTGGATGTGGGGAAGATACCTGAGGGGAGGGGTGAGTGTTTTGTCAGCGTGTATACACTCACAGCCTAGCTTGTTTTTACAGATTCACTATAGAGGCTTTAACAGCAGATTGGATTCATGGTCTTGTCTCATATGAAGAGATGGACAACCTCATTTCATCTCATAAAGGCATCTCTCTCAGCCTCAAGCTTGGATGAATGGCTGACTCCTCTCTCCTGTGTACCTGTTTTAGGGGAGTATCTGTAAAAGATCTAGAGCCATAAATGGTCGAGAGCCATGGTCTTGACTGCAGAGGTGTTAAACATCTTACTACCTCCATCAAGAGTGTGTGAACGCCTGACGTGTGTGTGTGTGTGTGCGTGTGTGTGTGTGTGCGTGTGCGTGCGTGTGTGTGTGTGTGTGCGTGTGAGTGTGCGTGTGCGTGTGCGCGTGTGTGTGTGAGTGTGCGTGTGCGTGTGCGTGTGCGCGTGTGCGTGTGCGTGTGCGTGTGTGTGTGTGTGTGTGTGTGTGAAGATGCAGTGCCTCCTGTGATCCAGATGAGCTCTTGACAAGTTTATTAGCTATTCTTGTGTTAAACAAATCCCCTCCCTGAGGTGGGAGACCGAAGACTGATTCAACACATTAGACCTCATTCTACTTGCTGCTCATTCAGGCCTGCTGGAGCCCGTCTGTCTCTCTCCCAGACACACACTGAGGGACTCAGACTAATGTACATTTTGTAAGATATCAATACAGTTTTTGACGGGTTTAAAACATCCAAAATCATTCATTCTTTTTTCAGGGATGCCACCAGAAAACCCAGGTCCAGTCACACGCCATGAGTCATCAGACAGCCTTGAATCGGACCACAGTAGCCCCGATGATGAGGAGTGGCTCTCCCAGGTGAGGCATTTATATAGTCTAAATGCATTTTGGTTAAATCAAATTATATCTTCTTCTGATGTTTGATGGTGGTTTAGTGCCACGTGTTGTAGACGTTCATCAGCCTGTGTGTTGTAATGACAGCATTTAGAGTAGTTTTCTATGTTTCACTGTGAATGAAGAGATTTCTAGAAACACCATACACCTTATTCCTGGGTGATATGATGTTGTTCCTCTCCACTGCCATGATTAAAGCCATGAAAAGCACACTGCTGTACTTCTGGAACGATTCTGGGAATAAATGAGCCGTTTTGAATCACCTCCATAGACTAAAAAGGATTATATTTGAAGCAGTGACGTTCTACTGCCATTCCATGCCGCATATGCTTCCAGTGTGAAGTAGGGGTAAGTATCTCAGTGTCTTGTTCATGAATGAGGGAAAGATGGAGTGTGAGGTCAACAAGCGGAGTGTTGCTGCAATGATGCAAGCGTTATACCGATCTGTCGTGGTGAAATGAGAGCTGGGTCGAAAGGCGAAGCTTTCCATTTACAAGTCGATCTATGTTCCTACCCTCACCTACGGTCACGAGCTTTGTGTAGTAACCAAAAGAATGAGATCACAGATACAAGTGACCAAAATTAGTTTTATCCGTAGGGTGGCTGGGCTCTCACTTAGAGATAGGGTGAGAAGTTTGGTCATCCGGGATGGGCTGAGAGTAGACCTGCTGCTCCTCCACATTGAGAGGAGCCAGTTGAGGTGGCTCGGGCATCTGGTTAGGATGCCTCCTGGACGGCTCCCTGGTGAGATTCTCTGTGCACTTCCAACTGGGAGGAAACCTAAAGGAAGACCCAGGGCATGCTGGAGGGACTATGTTTCTCAGCTGGTCAGGGAATGCCTTGGGATTCCCCCAGAAAGCACCACAGGATATGAGCCAACATAAACGATCATGTGTTAATTATATTTCTTGCCTGCTGTTGTTGTTATTATTATTATTATTATTATTATTATTATTATTATTTGTTACTGTGGCCGTGCACAGGATGCAGTTGCCAGGAGCACACCAACAATGAGCACTTTCCCTTCTCCGCTCAAATGAATCCCTGCAGAGTCCATGTAGAAATTGGCTTTTCTAACCAGGCTGTAGGATGGTTCAAAAATTACTTATCAAACAGGACCCAAGTTGTACAGCTAGATGGTGCTGTTTCTGAGGAACTTCAGCTGTATAAGGGAGTCCCACAGGGATCAATCCTTGGTCCAGTACTTTTCACCCTCTACATAAATAACATTGGTCTAAGTATTCATAATGCTAAATTATATCTTTATGCAGATGATAGTTATTTATTGTTCTGCCCCAAATTCTACAAAGACATTTCAGGATCTTCAATCAGCATTTGATCAAGCGCAAGAATAAGACTGATTAGGTCATTGGAATCCAGACTATCAGTGTGTTCATGTTTTAATTGAGTTTATGTGGAAATGTATTTAAAAGTGAATGTATTAATGTTGTAACTTGTGCTGCTGCTCTTTCTGTCTTGGCCAGGTCTCCCTTGCAAAAGAGATCTTGTATCTCAATGGGACCAACCTGGTTAAATAAAGGCAAAATAAATAAATAAAATAAATGTAAATAATGTAATATAAGTAGAACCAAGATCTTTTTTCAGGCTCTCCCTGAGTATGTAATTGTAGGGCTTCCAGGGGAGCCTGTCACCCTTTCGGGGCGGGTTCAGGTGGGCTCCCCTTTGCTCCCCTCAACTTTGAACATTGGTTAGATGGAAGAAACTAAAACCCAGGCTTGGTGATGAGGAATTTAAGGCTCCCACTCAGCTTTACGTCTGCTTAAGTAAATAAGGTTGTGTCCAACCTCTTAACAAAACACAACCAACCTTATGTAGGTTCTGATAAGCCTTGGAGCTTTTAATATTGTTTAGGAAGTTGAGTTAAGAAAGTAGCTTTGGCCAGATTTTCAGATCATCCACCACCTTTCTGTCGCAGTACTCAGAGGGATTGTAAGTGTGTCTCATTTGAGCAGAGACAGACATATTTTGCGTCTCTAAAATGTTACCCTGCGCTGCTAGATGAATTCTTGCGAGATTTGGTGTTTTCCAAAGAGAGGAGAATCCACCTTGTACTGCTCCAGTTCAAACCGTCCGACCTCCGGCCTAAAATATGCCAGACCAGTTGTGTGTGTACCATGCTGTAGGGTGGGACTCAGTTTTCACGATAGAATCAAGCGCCCGGCTAAGCGAAACAAACATGGCCACGCCGGTTGACGCTAACATCAAACATGAGTCATGATGGCAGTGTGGGGTCCACGGCCAAAAAAGGTCATGGTCGAGGTCTTAAATTTGCTAAAACATTATGTAACTGAAAATTCCCTTAAAATCCATCAAGATATATTTGTACATATCTACAGTTACATGTATAATTGCTATTTTGACAGCTAGATACATGTAGTTTAACATATTGCATGTTGTGAATTAGTTGTAAGTGTACGTCTACTAGGTAACATCATGTACATGTCAAAGAGACAGTTCAATTGGTAAGGCTTACACGCTGGGGACCCGGGTTCGAATCCAGTCAGAGACATACGACTTTACTATTAAAATGGCATATGGAAAGGTGTTTAGTTTCCACTAATGGTGTTTTATTAAAATAATGATATATATATGAATATATATATATATATATATATATATATATATATATATATATATATATATATATATATATATATATATATATATATATATATATATATATATGAAGCCTGAATTTTAATTATTAAACATCCAATTGAAACAATGTCATGGCCAAAAAAGGTGTCTGTTCAACTTTCATTTTCAACCATGACGGAACGTTTCGGTTTGACGCTGTTTCAACGATTGTTAAACGTCCGAATGTTTGCTTGGTCACTTTAGCAGGTTTGAATAACATAACTGTTGGACTTAAAACACCTTTAAGAGTTTCCCCCAGAAAGGACCACGCTTAGCCTGGCAGTCGACCAATCAAAACCTGGCGGTCGCCAGGCTTCTGGAGCACTGGGGAAACCCTGCCCTTTATACACGTATTCTTCTCACAAATCTGACAGAAATCACAAGACATGGTAATTGCAGCTTGAGTGAATGAATGAAGCTTGAGCGAGTTGTTTTCCGGGCGCACATGGTAATCGTCATTTGAGTTGTTACTGTGTTTGGCTAAAGGATAAATATGGTAGCCAGTGCCAGCCGGGCACTACCTTGTACGTCCTCCAATCAGCACCAAAAATTCTACCAGATAGCCCTCCCTCTTTCAGACGGTTTCTGCTGCAGAGATTCCTGATCGAAATGTGTAGTCTCGACACGGGGCGGGGCTACACCTGATCTGGTTGCTTCTAGGTTATCTACAAAGACCATTAAAAGTGGATTTGCGTGAATGGATTGCATCATCCATCTACGGTCTTTATGTAATAGTGTTTATGAGTATTTTTTATAGAAATAAGCTATTTAAAAGACTACTTTCCATTTGGACCAGGTCTTAGACTGACTTTTATCCAGTTAGCTAGTGGTGATCTTTAAATCTGCCTTGGAAGGTTTAGATGTGGTTAAAACAACTTGGACGTCCATCTCCAATAAAAAATATGTATTTTTTTTATCAAATATTAATTTTAGACCATTAAACTGAAAATAATCAAGTGTTCACCATTTTTTTAACTTCTCTGTCAGAATTGTTTCTTTGACATATTTTAAACTTTGTTTTTATTTAATATTAAAATGTGCAGAAATAATACCAGAGTTACCAGATAGAGTATGACAAAATTGGTACACCAACCTTGGTTGTTTCAGCTTGGTTAACCCACACAGCACTTATTTCTCATGTCGACAGGTAAGCCACTACATTTTTACCATCAATAATTCCAGTGCATGCATAATTGATTGGTTAAAATGCAACCCACTTAGCTTGCAGAGGCCGAGGCTTATATCTGCCATGATAGTTTGCCAGAAGCAAAACTATCCATTGCACAAATCAGTATTTGTAAGCCTCTCTGTCAGAGTGCCTGTAGTGGTGCATATTCTCTGTCTTAAAATGTTCAAGTCTTCATATTTTTGCACACCCCTGAGATGATCTGTTTAACTGTCATTAAGTTTAGGAGGAGCCAATCAAATGCCTGCTTCCAGATGACATATAACATGGAAGCTCCTACAGAAGGTGTGGGAAGAAACCAAGTGACTGGGCTCTGTAACTAAGTGGAGGGACAAATGCTCAAAACATATAATCTGTATTAAATTACACCAAGTAGTGCCTTGTGGATTACATTGCACCATCAGTGGCCTTCATTAGATTATCTTTGAGTGTTTCGGAGTTTGGTTGGGATTTGAGATTGTTCGGTAATTTCCTAATATATTCTGAGGTTTGTGACCCTTCGTGTGAGTGCTTCAGCTCACGGTCAGTATCAGTTGGCGGTCAAAACCTCCTCCAAATTTCTCCTTCAATAACCATAGAAACATCTGACAGAAGTACTTTGGCTTTCTATGACTAGCTCTACAATCATCTTAGTGAAAATACGTATGGAAGGTTTAGATATTAAAGCTGCAACTTGCTAGCCTGGAAAACCATGCTATATATGTGATTATATAGTCTGACCACAACCCAGATCTCAGTCATGGGGCGGGATCTACGGTTGTCTTTCCAGTTGTCTCTGCATGCTATTGGACAACAAACAACACATCATACTCACTTCTACGGATGTCCGTCAACGGGGCAGTCCACCATACGCTGTAAAGAAAAAGCAAATACACCCATTTTCTAAATAAAGTGCATAAGTACCTCTATCTGTCCATACATCCATGTACCTCTGTCAGTGCACCACAGGGCAGCTATGGCTACAGTGTAGCTCATTACCACCAGGGAGTGAATGGGGGAATGACTGATTAAGTTGTAAA